ACATTACCGCTCCTAGAGCTGACGCTGTATATAAAAAAACTTCAGCACCATGGAAAGCATGCATGCAAATAAACAAAAGCAAGATTTTGCCCAAAACGTTCCCACAAAGATCTATCCAAAGTGGAAAAATAGCTACTTCTGTTCTATAAAGATTCATCCTGGCAAGACTCGACCTAACAAGATCCACCCAGTGAATATCATATAATACATAGGACTGACCCTGCTGGGCGAATTGTGTCAAATCTTACTTTGGTGAATGTACCAATTTTTTACTGGACGGATTTCACCGGTGAATCATCGATAAATACACGCCATCATTGGTTTTGATGCGTAGCCAAGCAGTTCTCTATACTGAAGCCAGGTGGAGCTGTTGAACAAATAATACAATCCAAGGAAATGGGTCACATCCGGTTTTATCACGATGTAAACACCGGAAGTAGAATGACGCTTTGGTGAAAGTAAAATGTCAATAAGTTGTGAGATCATCAAAGACAATAGAAGCAGCTTTTCCTTTATGTCAGGTGCCTGTTTCTCTAGTGATGTGGATCAGCACTGTGATATGTAACTGTGCTTGCTTTGTTGGTAACAATCTATTTTTTTTATGCATTATAAATATTGTAATTATATATATTGTAATAAAATATATTTTTATAAAAATATTTCATATTAAACGTCATTAAACGTGAAAGAAATATGAATCAATAACATGTCTTGTTTATGTAACAACATTGTACCGCCTATAAAAATGCCAACAGGTAAAGTCAATCAGTAATCTGCCAATGCAGGGCGAGGCAACCTCGGCACTCCAACTGTTGGGGAACTACAAGTCCCACGAGGCATTGCAAAGCTCTGGCAGCCACAGACATGATTTTCAGAGGCATGTTGGAACTTGTAGTTTTACAGCAGCTGGAGTGCTGAGGCTGCCTACCCATGTGCTACTGCAGATTGAAGCTGGCCATACACATCTAGTGTGGGCTGAAAGAGAGAAAAACGCTCCATTTCCCCATCCGTGTGGATGGAAGAACCTCTTGCTGCATGGCTGCTTGAATAGCCAAGTGTAGACTGTAGCTGATTGGCTGCAGTCATGTTCGTATATGTAAATTGTCCAACAATTTGCCAGAGATGAGCTTGTCACTACGCTGCTGCTCTTTTTTTTTACTGTCCAGTCACACACTGGGGGCGGGTTCAGGACAACCTGGGCTCAGAGCAAGTGTGTCAAATTATGCTGACCATCAGACTGCATTGGGTTATGGCTGTCTGATAGTGGATACACCGTCTTTCGCTGGTGTCCTAGCAACCAATAATGTCAGGCAGGGCCACCTATAGGGGGGTACAGTTAGCCCTGTTGTACAGGGCCTGGTTCCCCCCTCTGCCCCCTGCCAATGTTTTAGGCGTCCTGGGAGGGGGGCAGGACCATGGCAGAGGGTATCAGGATGGAGAGTGGGAGCAAACCGAGGAACATCCATTCCCTGATCTGCTTTGTGATGAATGATGAAGGGAGCGGCGTGCTCTCAGCACTTCCTGCTTCTCAGCTGTCAAAACCTTACTGAAGTTCTGCGTAAACAGAAGATCAAGCACAATCATGTGCTCTACAATTAAGCTTCTTTAGGGCGAAACATGTCAGAGCCTGCGAATCTTGTCATGCTTGTAACATTTAAATGCCTGGGAATAAACTTTTTTTAGATCGAGGTCCTGGCTCATGAGTGTGGCTTTGCATACATTGAAGCACAATCATGTGCTTGGTTACCTTGTACTGGAGGGCAAGGGAGACATCAGGGGTCTAATAGACCCCTCATGGGTGTTGTTGAGGGGAGAAATCTTTTGTTGGCATCCTGTTTAAGAGCTTTTCCTTCACTTCCTGTCCTGGAGACGCAACAGGAAGTGAGAGTAAATCACTCCAAAGCACTCACTTCCAGCGGAATACCTCTATAGCGGTCCCATTGCAGGCAAGTTAGCACCATTTTCAAGATCGCTGTAATGACGTGGCCCAAGGGGCCTATTCACACTTGTCCATTTTCATGCAGTGAAGCAAGAGGATTTTGCTGCAGCAAAAATGCATTTTTAAATGGAAATCGCATTTCCTATTCATGTCTTTGCGCTGCAGTTTAGAAAAGTTCACATGATTTATATTTCCATGTTTATGATTATTATGCTTTTAATGTGATGTATTCCTGCTGGCAGAAGGGGCGGTGCCAGCACGCTCTGTGTTTTCAAACACTCCGCCAGCCAGCCAGTCACGTCTTCTGCTGTCAAAGATTGACAGCTTTCGACCCGGCCACCTTGACCACGCCTCCCCCAGACGTCAGCATCAAACACAAAAACAGACACTGGCGTCGAGCTAATGGCAGCCGTTTCCCGCCCACTTTTCTCTTTCCCCACCCCTCC